TATAAGCACATTCTCTTTTTTTTCACCCCCAATGAGGGACAATTGCTCTTTCCAAAATATAAAGGAGCTCACTTTCCCTTCACATTTCTTCCCTCTATTTTCCATTCACCAACCTTCAATCCCTACACTTCTTGCTTGGTGATTGGGATTATCAGCTATGGTATTTTTGCTTGTCAGTGTTAGCATTTATTAATTTATTCACTTCTTGATTGGTGATACGGGCTGGTCAGCTAAGGCAGGTTTTATCTATTGCAACTAACCACTTGGTAAAGAAATTATTGTAACTCTTTTCTTAGTCTTATTAGTATGAGAAGGTTGATATACTAGCCAAATTTGAAGTTACCTACTAGTTAAACAATGTCAAACGTATTTGTTGACAGTATACAACTACATGTAGGGGTGGCAAAGGGTCGGTTTGGGTCGGATATGGGCGGGTCGAAAATAGGTAATGTAAAAAATGAATAAATTATCCGTTCCGACCCTTATTTAATACGGATAAAAAACGGGTTAACCGGCGGATAATATAGATATTCATATTATCCATAATTTCTTTAATATGATCACTTTTGGGAGAATTTCTAACCTTTCAAACTTGAAAACCCCCCAATTTGAGGCTTTATAAATGTAAAAGTTAAACACATTATTTATCCGTTGGTTATCCATTTAGAAAATGGATAATATGGTTCTTATCCATATTCGACCCATTTTTAAAAAGTTTATTATCCAGCCCATTTTTTAATTAGTGGATAATATGGGTGGATAACTATTTTCTTTTTGGTAAATAAAAGATTTTTATTACCAGTGAACTATATGTACAGAGAGAAAGAAAATCAATCTGATTGTTGGACATGAAGCCCCAATATCAGAAGAACTTCAGAAACTAAACCATACTACCAGCCTCACCTATTTATCTGCTCACCTATCCAACTACTTTTACCTTAGTTCTAAGGATAAAAATTAAGTAGCTCAAGTTTCCTAGCCAATCTTGCTTTGACAGCACCTCTACAACAGACTTCTTGGATGATTTGCTTCACAATATGTTCAAGATCAGACTACTTGTTTTGAAAAATTCTGAGGTTCCTTTCTCTCCAGATGTAGTACAAGCTTGCTGCTAGAGCCATTCTATACACCACTGCCTCAACTTTCCACCTTTTTTGCATAGATCTCAGCCCATTTCAACTCATCATGCCAATCTAGTGCCACCCTATTTATACCTTGCCATTGTAAGAATTTATTCCAGATATGTGCAGACAAGTCACATTGAAAGAATAGATGTACTATATTTTCAGTTTCAGTAACACATAGAGGACAGTTTTGTAGAACACTCAACCCCCATTTTAGCAACCTATCCCTAGTATTCAACTTCCCATGTGCTATTAATCTCATTATGAATATCCATATAGGAGCTCCTAGGTTATTACACACTAATTTCCTCCATGACACCTTAGGGAAAACACCTCTAATCGAGACATACATTTTCTTGATAGAGAATATTGCCATTGTCTGAAACTCAACTTCCCCTATTCCTGCTTGTTCTACATACCTTCTAGCCTTCAAAATTTTCTGCACTACCCATGAGGCTTGTTTTGGTGCAATATTCCAGATTTGCTGCTTTTTTATATAGTAAGTGTGAATCCATTTTACCCCATAAACTATCTTTTTTGGTACACAAATTCCATAGAAGCTTACATATGGCTGCTATATTCCAACTAGCCACATCCAAAATATTCATTCCACCTGCCACTTGGGGGTAGCAGACTCTTTCCCATGCAAGTAAATTCCTTTTAGATAGTTCATCCTCGCCAGTTCACAAGTATTTCCGACAAGTAGACTCTATTAGCTTGACTACCTTTACGGGTAGCACAAAGATTTGTGACCAGAATACTTGTATTGAGAACATAACACTTTTTATCAACTGGACCCTACATGCATAGGATAAGAGCTTTGCTGCCCAGCTTTGAATTCTACCTAGCATCTTATCAAGCAAGGGTTGACATTGAATAACTGAGAGTCTCCTTGAGCTCAAATGGAACTCCCAAATACCTTATAGGCAAGTCACCCTTTGCAAAACCAGTTGCCTCCATAATCTGTTGTTGCACTACATCGTTCACTCCTCCAAAATAAATGGAGCTTTTGTCCCTATTTGCATTAAGTCCAAAAGCTGCGTAAAACTCCTGGAAACAGTCAAATAGCATTTGGACAGACTTCACATCTCCCTTGCAGAATAGAAGTAAGTCATCAGCAAATCCCAACTGTATGATTTTCATCTTTTCACACTTTGGATGGTAATTGAAGTCTGGTTCTTCTCCTAACTGCTTTAGAGCTCTACAGAAATATTCCATCACCAAAATACACAAGAATGGGAACATTGGGTCGCTCTGTCTCAATCCTTTCTTTGCAGGAAAAGGTTCACATGGCTTTCCATTTATGAGGATAGAATAAGAGAGAGTTTTTAAGCACATCATGATCCACTGAGTAAACTTAGAAGGGAAGTGCAACCCCTTCAGAACTTGTTCTACAAAAATCCACTCCACTGAATCATATGCCTTTTGCATATCTACTTTTAGCATGCATCTTGGATAACTATTTTTTTTTTAAAACCATTTTGCCACCACTAGCTACATGTAATCAGGATTTGAACTAAGATCTCATAGATATAAAACCGTAACGGTAAGAGCTTGACTAAGAGACAAAAAAAGATGATGAACTGTTGTACAGCTGAAAACAATGTGATTCACATACTCAATTCTCAACAAATTTAACAGCAAAGTCACCCTTGTATTCCCTCTCCTAATTATTCTCATATACAGCTGCAATCAGATACTTTGTGATATGTCATTGTTAGTCATACTTAATAAATACTCTTCTGAATTGCAGCTCGAGGGCGGCATCTTTAATTATCAGTGTTACCTTCACATTTAATTATCAGTACAAGAGGCAAGATGAAGAACTGATTAATGTGAGGTTGGTGGTTTAATATCTGGTGATTGGTGAAGTTGTTAGCTTAATACTGCCATGCTCCAACTTTTTAATCCAAAATCCAAACCTTTTTATATCTTTTGACTTCGAACTAATATTACAAATTTTAATTCCCACATTGGGCTACTAATACCAAACACTACCTCTTAATACGTGTTGCGACCAAACACACTCACGCAAGTATACGCGGTCGTCAAGTAATAAAGTGACTAAAAGTCGGATGTCGAACCCACGAGGACTTGTGATTAACTATTAACTAAATTAAACTATCCTAATTATCTAAACAAGAATTAAACCTAAAAATATTTGATTCTAAACTAATTAAATAAAAAAATATAAATAATGAACTTTGAACAGAGAAAAAGCAGCTTTTTATGATATCAATGTAATGAAAACGATCTAGGGTTATGGGCTATCTAACAATCCTATTGTATTCTTCAATTGAATTGACCGACTAATTTATCTAGCTTATTGGTTGACAGGGTTAATATTGCTCATAAGAATCTGTCGAGTTCTTACTCGCCTATTCAAGCTAACCTAACGCCTATATGTCTATGGAGTTAGAATCAACAAGAACGCATTTATAATTCCTGTAAATCAACCAAGCAAGGCAATTAGGTATATGTCTATCCTAACCACGAATCCGTTCCCCGATGCCCGAGTTCAAGAGCTTGCTCTACTCAATCCTATATGCAATCTAGAATTCTCACTTTCGAGTTAATTCTAGATTCGTAGATAGTATTCAATTGGTGATCAAGCAATTAAATAATTAAGCGCAAGATTGAATAAATAAACCAATATGATAAATCAAGAAGGCAAAATCAATATCAGAATAACAATAGTCATGAAAGAACCACAACCCTAGAACGTGAAGTTTAGCTCCACATAGACATGGTAGCCAAACAACAAATCATACAAAGAAACATAAAAATTACTAAGTTTGGTGGGAAAAAGATGGAACTTGATGAATTCCGGCCTCCACGGCGGCTCTGTGCTTGTGTTTTTTCTCTCAAAACGTCCTCCCATTTCAAAATAGGTTTAGGTTGGCTTTTATATTAGTTGGGGCATCTTGGGGTCGAAATAACCGAGTCCCAGTCGAAATAGGACACTTTCCCGTCTTGAGCGTCCAGGTGAGCGTGGGGCGCTGGCCATGGCGCTCAAATATTTTGGCTGCTGTAAATTGCGCCACAGCCAGCGCCCCACGCTGGCTGTGGCCCTCAAATTTTACTTTTTGCTTTTTTTTTCCCAATTTCGCTCCAATTCGCGCCCTTTCGTCCCAAATTGCATCCGAATGATCCCTACACATAGAAATACCAAAATTTAGCACAAATAATCATATTAAACATCTCAAATCATCGAGACATGAACAAAATGTGAGGCGGTATATATCAAAATATGCATACATTAAGCCGATTATCAATACGCCGAAAAAAAAAATAAGCAAGCCACCTTTCCGTCTATTAATTTAACAAGAATCAGAGGCGAAGCCATAATTTCAACATTACGAGTTTTAGATTTTAGAACGACAATTTCAAGTGCTAATAATTGGGTTCTAATTATAATGAATTTCTTAACATAAATATGTTGTTTCAGCAAAAGCTATTGGGTTCGGTCGAACCCTTATTCGGTTTTCTAGCTCCGCCCCCGACAAGAATATGAATAGGTATCAACTTGTATAAATGTCAACTATTGTAGCAGGTATTACTACTCATTATCATAAGAACTTGGGACTCCCATGCACCATTATGAAGGTGGCTATATCTCCAGCAGCAGGTACTAAGAACCATGATTATTATCAGAGTTTTTGAAAAAGATATTAGTTTAGTTTAAGTGTCTACTGTCTAATATATTTGAGAGGTTGGTTAGTATGATCATGACATTTGAATCTAACTAAATGAAAGAGACAGTCTATAACGAATCTATTTTTTATGTACTACTAAAAAAGATGGAAAATGACAAACTAACGCAAGTTAGCTAAAACAATGTGCCTATAAATTCTGTCTGATCCAATTGGATTAGCTGTGTGTGTAGCAATTCGAACAAAGAGAGAGACCTCTTTCAGTTCAAAGTTGCAAAAAACTTGTAATCAAAATGGCTAACTTTGGCTATTTGGGTAATTTTCTACTGTTCTGTATTCTACTAGGAATAGTGACTTCTAGCCATGCTCAGTTACAGCTCAACTTTTATGCAAAGAGCTGTCCAAAAGCAGAGAAGATAATTCAAGATTATGTCCAAAAGCACATCCCAAATGCTCCATCTCTTGCAGCTGCCTTGCTCAGACTGCAGTTCCACGATTGTTTTGTCAGGGTAAGTTTTTCACATATATGCAAGCTCTATATTCACTCAACATTTACTGCCATTCTTGAACGGCAGCCCAGTGGACTAAGCTCCCACTATGTGCGGGGTCCGGGTAAGGTTCGGACCACAAGGGTCTATTGTACGCAACCTTACCCTGTATTTCTGCAACACGGCTCGAACCCATGACCTCCTGGTCATGTGACATCAACTTTACCAGTTGCGCCTAGGCTTCCCTTCACTATCATTCTTGAAGTAGTGTAATTATTTTTTTTTTATCTTCATTTGGGATTTTACAGGGTTGTGATGCATCTGTGCTTCTGAATTTCACTTCGAGCACGAAAAACCAAACTGAAAAGGTGGCTATTCCTAATCAAACACTGAGAGGCTTCTCATTCATTGATGATGTGAAGAAAGCAGTTGAAGCTGAATGCCCTGGAATTGTCTCTTGTGCTGATATTGTTGCCTTAGTTTCTAGAGACTCCGTCGTGGTCACGGTAAGTACAAAACTTGAACCTACTTTTTAATTGGTTTCCAACTTGTCAGACCATATTTACTTATGTCGTATCTTTCTCAGATCAATAAATAGAGCTGAAGTTATACTTCAATCCACCCGAAGTAACTAGTTCTAGTAAGTATGAAAGGGCTAAATTAGATGACATATGTTCTTAATCTCATCGCCTCCCTTTATGTCTTTGCATGATAGGGAGGTCCTTACTGGAATGTTCCAACTGGTAGAAGAGATGGAAGAATATCAAACGCGTCCGAAGCTTTGGCAAACATTCCTCCTCCAACTAGTCACTTTTCCAGTCTCCAGACATCTTTTGCAAGCAAGGGTCTTGACCTAAAAGACTTGGTCCTATTGTCTGGTACGTTTAAATTAGGTCATATTTCTACTTCTTCTATATTAAGTTTTTCCATATATTTAATAAGTCTTTCTTAACAAAAATCATTATTACTATGAACAATTTGTTATTAGGTGCACATACTATTGGAGTTTCTCATTGCTCGTCATTTTCAACACGTTTATACAATTTTACCGGAGTTTTGGGCACACAAGATCCGTCTCTAGACAGCGACTATGCAGCTAATCTTAAGGCGAAGAAATGCAAATCAATCAATGACAATACCACAATTGTTGAAATGGATCCTGGCAGTTCAAGCACCTTTGATCTTAGCTACTTTAAGCTTTTACTAAAGAGAAAAGGGCTATTCCAATCAGATGCAGCCTTGACAACAAGTGCGACAACAAAGTCATACATCAACAAGCTAGTACAAGGATCACTCAAACAGTTCAATGCTGAATTCGCCAAGGCTATGGAGAAAATGGGCAGTATAGAAGTCAAGACTGGCTCTGCTGGTGAAATTAGGAAGCAATGTGCATTTGTGAATAGTGAAGTGTAGTCTTTGTGTTTGTTCCCAATTTCCAATATTGTTGTGTTTGTATTTGTGTGTAACCTTGGTGAGATTAGGAAGCATTGCGTGTATCGATTTATCTCACTAGAGTATCGGTACCAAAAACGCCGGTGAACAGCGAACCACTTAATGGCTGTAAATCACACTGGAATTTATTTGTGCGGAAGAAGGAGAAGAAGTTCAGAAAATTTCGTAAGGAAAAATTCTGGGATCAAGACATATTTATAGCTATTTTCTGGCACTGTTTCTGAAAAGTTTTGCAAAACGTTCAAAATATTCCGGGAAAAGAATTTAAAAAATAATTCGGGAAAAAAACGGACCGGGTCGCGTTGCGCGTGGGTCCTGGTAAGCCGAGCGAGCGACGGCGGCGGCACGAGGCTTACCTTCTTTCCAACCCATTTAACACCAACGGAAGTGTTTTCTCAATATAAGCACATTCCTTTTTCTTTCCACCATCATGAGAGACAATTGCTCTTTCCAAAGCATAAGGGAACTCCTTTCCTTTTACATGTCTTCCCTCCATTTCTCATTCACCAACCTTCCATCCCTACACTTCTTGCTTGGTGATTGGGACTATCAGCTATGGCATTTTTGCTTGTCAGTGTTAGCATTTATTAATTTATTCACTTCTTGATTGGTGATACGGGCTAATCAGCTAAGGCAGGTTTTATCTATTGCAACTAACCACTTGGTAAAGAAATTATTTAAACTTTTACTATTTGCTCCTCCAATTACCAAAAGTACTACCACCATGCATTGCAGCTAGTAAATATGCTTAAGTAGAAAAAAAAAAGAGTTATAACGGAAAGAAACAAATGAAACTGAAAGTCCAAAACACGATAAAAATGAGTACAACAACAACCCAGTATAATCCCACCAGTGGGATCTGGGGAGGGTAGTGTGTACGCAGACCTTACCCACTTGGTAACCACTTGGTAAAGAAATTATTTAAACTTTTACTATTTGCTCCTCCAATTACCAAAAGTACTACCACCATGCATTGCAGCTAGTAAATATGCTTAAGTAGAAAAAAAAAAGAGTTATAACGGAAAGAAACAAATGAAACTGAAAGTCCAAAACACGATAAAAATGAGTACAACAACAACCCAGTATAATCCCACCAGTGGGATCTGGGGAGGGTAGTGTGTACGCAGACCTTACCCACTTGGTAACCACTTGGTAAAGAAATTATTTAAACTTTTACTATTTGCTCCTCCAATTACCAAAAGTACTACCACCATGCATTGCAGCTAGTAAATATGCTTAAGTAGAAAAAAAAAAGAGTTATAACGGAAAGAAACAAATGAAACTGAAAGTCCAAAACACGATAAAAATGAGTACAACAACAACCCAGTATAATCCCACCAGTGGGATCTGGGGAGGGTAGTGTGTACGCAGACCTTACCCCTACCCTGGGATAGAGAGGTTGTTTCCGATAGACCCTCGGCTCCCTCCCTCCAAGAACTACCCACCTTGCTCTTGGGGTGACTCGAACTCACAACCCCTTGGTTGAAAGTGGAGGATGCTTACCACTAGAGCAATCTACTCTTGTCACGATAAAAATGAGTATGAGTAAGAAAGAGCCGTCCATTTTTTCAGCTATTGAATATTTTTAATATTATTTTGCGTAACATTGAATTTTTTTAATACTTGATGATTATTAACTAATCTTTTGCTATTTAAAACTTCAACATTTTATCCTATGAGTCCACCCAACCGATTAGACTAAAAATAACTAATTGTATAATTTATTTACAAGCTTGCTTTACCTCCCAACCTATCAGGGGTTCATCCGGTTTTTCATGTGTCTATGCTCCGGAGGTATCACGCCGACCTGTCACATGTGTACTGGCTAGAAAAAATAAATTGTGAATCCAATCGACTATTTATGTAAAGATTTAGAAAAATAAACTCAACATGCAATATAGTGGTTGGACCCATGCTCGGCATGGGCCATTAGTGTATTAATGAGAAAGAAAATTCAAATATTTTTCTTTCTTTTTTTTCCTTTTTAGTTAACCAAAGTAAAATAATAAAGGGAAGAAAATAATTTTCCTCCCAATATTGGTGTTATTTTAGTAGGATTATATGTATTTATACCAATCTAATAAATACATAACGCATGTCTTCACAAAAATAATTATCACTAAATCATGTACTAGTTAGCTAATACAAAAGGTCAACTTAAATTATCACCTAATTATGATAAATTAATATAATTTGATATATCACAAAGAAAGTACATTAATATGAGGTTGGTGGTTTCTGGTGAAGTTATTAGCTTTAATGCTGCCGGGCTCCAACTTTTTATACAAAAATCCAAACTTTTTCTATATTTTGACTTAGAACTAATATTACAAATTTTAATCCCCACATTGGGCTACTAATACCAAATACTATCTTATACTATCTCTTAGTACATAGAAAAAACAATTAGCAAGCCACTTTTCCCTCTACTAATTTAACAAGAATCAGAGGCGAAGCCAGAGTTTAGATGTTACGGGTTCTAGATTTTAGAACAACGACTTCAAGTGCTAATAACTGGGTTCTAAATTTAATATTTAATCATATTTGATGAATTTTTTAACACGAATACGTTGTTTCAGCAAAAGCTATTGAGTTCGGTCGAACCTGTATTTGTACTTCTAGCTCCTCCTCTGACAAGGATATGAATAGGTATCAACTTGTATAAATGTCAACTATTATAGCAGGTATTACTACCTATTATCATAAGAACTTGGAACTCCCATTCACCATTATGAAGGTGGCTGTATCTTCAGGAGCAGGTACTAATAACCATGATTATTATCAGTGTTTTTGAAAAAGAAGATTAGTTTAAGTGTCTAATATATATGTGAGAGGTTGGTAAGTAAATTTGAATCTAACTAAATGAAAGAGACAGTCTATAACGAATCTATTTTTTATGTACTAGTAAAAAAGATGGAAAATGACAAACTAACGCAAGTTAGCTAAAACAATGTGCCTATAAATTCTGTCTGATCCAATTGGATTAGCTGTGTGTGTAGCAATTCGAACAAAGAAAGAGACCTCTTTCAGTTCAAAGTTGCAAAAAACTTGTAATCAAAATGGCTAACTTTGGCTATTTGGGTAATTTTCTACTGTTCTGTATTCTACTAGGAATAGTGACTTCTAGCCATGCTCAGTTACAGCTCAACTTTTATGCAAAGAGCTGTCCAAAAGCAGAGAAGATAATTCAAGATTATGTCCAAAAGCACATCCCAAATGCTCCATCTCTTGCAGCTGCCTTGCTCAGACTGCAGTTCCACGATTGTTTTGTCAGGGTAAGTTTTTCACATATATGCAAGCTCTATATTCACTCAACAGTTACTGCCATTCTTGAACGGCAACCCAATGGACTAAGCTCCCATTATGTGCGGGGTCCGGGTAAGGTTCGGACCACAAGGGTCTATTATACGTAACCTTACCCTGTATTTCTGCAACACGGCTCGAACCCATGACCTCCTGGTCATGTGACATCAACTTTACCAGTTGCGCCTAGACTCTCCTTCACTACCATTCTTGAAGTAGTGTAATTATTTTTTTTTTATCTTCATTTGGGATTTTACAGGGTTGTGAT